ATCTATATAATATGGAGCCCACTGCATATGTGCCCTTAGTGACAACCCAAATCGCACCACTCGACACATACCCTACTTCACGGGGTGAGGTCTCCGGCATCCTTATTCTCACAGCTTAAATGTGCAACAAGCATTAGCCGATTGTGGGTGCGTCCCGATTGCGTTACGCGCCGCAACTGAATACCGATTTGGCAATAATCTCTGGGCTTTGTCTTATTTTCTTTCCTTGTCTTCAAGATCAGCAGCGAGTGCGGCGTAGTGTTGCTACGAACTCCAGCCAAAATGGTATGACTGCGACACCACAATGGAATAGCGGCGCTCCAAAGAACCACCAATCTCTATTGCGCTTGAGCGTTATGAAAATCGGCCGGATGAAGTATGGAGATACCACTAAGTGTTTTAGGTATCGGCCGATCCTTAAAAAGTATGGAGGCAGCCTACCGTTGTTGATCCCTACCCCTCGGACAATTGTCTCACCCTTATATTTCATAGGTATAATGTCGATTCAAATGGGTGCATGTACTGAAGTCCCGTTAGATATAACCGCTGCAATATTTACTACCGTAAGCGGAGCCTTTCAGGGACATCGTAAGGCCCACCCTTCTTTTCAGCGAGGAGCGAGAATGATAAGGGTTAATCTTTTGTTGCTGCAACGCGCACGCCAAGAAACAAACTTAATGCACTGCTTTGAATATGATGAAAACTTCCATTCAGGGACCTTCCCTGAATGGAGTTTCATCTTGATCTGAATACTGATCCCTAAAGGACAATTTTCTACCAGACTTAAGAATCTTCTGAACCAGAAGACCTGAACGTTTTTTCGATGTATTTACTAGCTTATCCTGAGGTTCTCCTTTCCAGTGAAGGGCTCCATTATTTATAATTGTCACAAGATTGGCCAACTGGCCAACCTCTATTTCTTTATGAGGCAAAGCCTTTGACAGATTTTCAGCCCAAGTCAAGTTCGCTATTGTTCATTATGATTAATAAGAATCTCAGAGGTTAATAAACATAAAGGAGGCTTCAGATTAAAGTACCATGAAGTGCGCAAATCTGTGCCAATCTGAACTTTGTTACTGTGACACTCTGTCATACCAATGGAAACGATTACACGAGGTTATTTCTTGGTAGACGAATACCTAATCATAACGATAACCCACTTTCCAAGAGATTAATTCCCTCCGCGACGTCCTGCTTTGTCGAACGGATAAGCGCAGTTCCATAATTAAAGGTGGCAATAGCGCTGGGAGGACCACGTCGACACTGCGTTTCGTAGGCTTCACGGAATCTCTGCAGATAAAAAATGTGTAGCGATAAACGAAAACTTCAACGAAATGTCAACACATGACAGTTGGAAAGGTTTTCATTGCAACAAAAACTTTCGAAAGATGATTCAAATATATGAGTCACGGCATTCTATGTAATCTAGTTGATGGTTTCTGCGGTACTTGAATCTATAATTCTTTTTTCTTTGTTTTCAGCGCCGCTTGATTTGACTGAGCAGAAAACATGTACTGCCCACTAGACATTCTTTCAAATTGACCGCATATACACTGAGAGTAGACTATTATTTACATTTTCAATTTCATTGAGAAAAGTATGCAGAACTTTGAAGATTTGTCAATCTGATGTGACAGTCGATGTTGCAGACACACAAATTATGTGGATTTTTGAGAACATTGCCGACTAAACGCTTAAGATTATGCATAGCACATTTCCGACTTTTGTACGATTGATGTAAAACATTCATATCCTCAAATTAAATACTGTTGAAGATCCCTTCTGCCTTACTGTAACTCTTTTACATAAAAGATGATCATTTAGATGCACTGTAACATGTGTCTCTGGCGGCATGTAGAAGGAGTGATGCTGTTCAAAATTTCCCATTATCAGACTTAAACTAAAATGAGGTTAAAAGTACTTACTTCCAAATCATACTGATCGACGCGTTCATCAAGAATGCTTTCGACATCCATTATCATTCCTGAGAGTAGAGAAAGTTCGTCTCGCCCTTTTATCTCCTAAGAAACCAAATGAGATCGAGCAAGAACTTAGACGCATGACAAACAATAATCTATCAGAGACAATCCCACAATGTGCAAACTTGGTAGATAGTTCTAAAAACGGCAGAGGTTTTCAATGATATACACACTGGATGTATTGAGTCAGCAACGAAATCGATGCCAATGGCACTGGCGAGCGCAATCTGAGTGTACCGGAACCGCCTACTTAGCGGGGCTCAGCGCCATCACATTTCCCTACTGTGAGGTTCATTATCGCCTTTCATTTCTTTCCAGAACAATAGAATGGCAAGGAGGACGGCCTTGTATGACTGCTTATGGAAGTTCCTACATGTGATGTTAGTTTTTCATTTTATGTTTGAGGTGATGCAACCGTCGTCAATTTTTGATGATTGCCGAACTCTGCTGTGTAACATTTCCCAAGGACCCCATTTACGTTCTAAAACAGAGCGGTTATTATGACCATTACTGCAAATCTACCGTCGCATCAATTTGCAAATTTTATCTTTTGAAACTATTTGCAAGGCCAAACATAGTTTCGCATCTCCTACGAACGCGGTTTGGATTAGAGTTTGCTCGAAGAAAGTGTAGATGCTTCTCTATCTCGCCACGAAGCGTATTTCAAGAAAGCAGACAGCTTCTTTGAAGCTATTTCAGGCAAGCAAAGCGCCCTCACAAACAGTTTCTACTCACGCCGTTGATAGAAGCTTGACCTTTCGTCAAAAACATCATTTGATCTGAGCGTTGTTCATAGGCTGTTGATAGGTAAATATAGAGGTTATTTTCGGAGAACATTTCTATCAGTTTTTTTCTTATAGTTTGACATGTACATTACGAGAAGTTTACGCACTTCTGACAAAAAAAAAAAGAAATTTTGTAAACATGAACTTTTTTGTCATAACACGTACTTTACTGCCACTGTGAAGTTTAAAAAGTTCCATGATGACTTGTTTTTGACTGAACGCCGGCACTCTTCTACTCACATGGAATTTGAATGTAGTCATTTTGTTTAATAGTAAGCATCTTCTACGCAGATATCGCAGCGTTATAAAGATTTTCTGAAGTTGCGCCAAGAATAGGAGATCTTTTTCGATGGCATCCGTCTGTTCTGGACACATTGCTTGCTACAGAAAATCATCAGAATCCATTGGAAATTTATGAATATTAGAAATGCTTTATATGTGCATATATATCTTTAGCGTGATTTGTATAATCAAGCTTGCCGATTTTTTATCTCCTTCACGAATAAAAAGCTTTTATCGTCATAAACTTTGGATCTGCAGCATCAATTGACTCGGGTGCGTGTAAACAATGACAGTCATTCAAGCACGCGATATGCTTGATCGATCATCAGAAACTCGCCGTAA